GACAGACAGAAAGCGGGAAATCATCCCTAGAGGGGATGGCCACACTGCAATCCCTTCTCCATTCTCCTCTTGGGATCTCACACATAAGTTTTTAAAATATTTGTCACAGGGACCAGCAGATGGCATAATGGTTATGTTACTGGACTCCGACATAGTTGACCACAGTTCAAGTCCCAGACATGTGACTGGGGGGACGTGTGCATGTGTGCCCAAGATCACGAGAGGAGAATGGGTGATTTCTCGCTTTCTGTCTCTGTCTCTCTGGCGAACACACACGAAAACCTCTCTAAAAAATTGTTTTGTCACAAATCTGTCCTGCTCTTTCTTCCTCCTCTCCTCATGAGCCAAGCAATACTCTAAAAGTAGTTTATCAGGTAAACCAAATTTTAGTATTTCCTTTTTTCATGTCATCAGTACCTTATAAAAGTGTATATATTGGATCATTGAGAAAGTCATGACACAGTTTTGCATAAAAAAATACATCACGGGAACCAGCAGTTAGCGTAATGGCTATGTCGCTGGACTCCCATGTAGTCAACCGCGGTTTGCATCCCGGACCCGGTGGCTTAAAACTCACGCCAGGTGCGTGTGCGTGCGTGCCCAAGATCCTGCAAGGAGAATGGAGGAGAAGGGACTGCGGCGTGGCCATCCCCCCTGGGGGGTGATTTCTCACTTTCTATCTCTGTCTCTCTCTGTCTGTCTGGCGAGCGCACGCGCCCTATAGTGAAAATCTCTCAAAAAAAAAAAAAAAATCATGACTTTCCTGACAACTTTTCCCATCATGACTTTTCTTCCTACCTATGGCCTAGGATTATGCACTCACACCTGAACTGCGAAGTTAGAGACACTTCATGTCAGTGTCCCATACATGGTATCCCCATGTCTCTAGTACAAACTAGAAAAAGGCACCCCAGGGACCAGAAGGTGGTGTGGTGGTTAAGGTGCTGGATACTCCCACATGGCTGACCACGGTTCGAGTCCTGGATCTGGTGGCTTCCTTTCTCACTATCCCTCTCTTTCCTTTTCTGTGTCTCTCTCTGGCCAAATTAAAATAAATGAATGAATAAATAAAATTTAATAAATAATAAACTAAAAAAAAAAAGAAAAAGGCACCCCATCCTCAATGCTTCAATTCCACCTGAAGAATCAGATGGAATCTACAGATAAGAAAACTAAAACTCAGAGATTAATGACTAGTACACCATGATCTTTTTTTATTTTTTTTCCCCACTTAGGATGGACTTTCTAAGTCCATATTATTAATACATGAAAAAAAACAAAAGTCCTTGGGCCAGCAGGTGGAGTGTTGGTTAAAGGAACTGGATTCCCACATGATTGACTGTAATTTGAGTCCCACACCTGGCAGTTTGCTTTCTTGCTTTCCCTTTCTCTGGCTCTCTTTGATCAAATTAATAATAATAACAATAATAATAATAATAATAATAATCAGGACCAGCAGTTGGCATAATGGCTATTTCACTGGATTCCCATGCAATTGACCATGGTTCGAGTCCCAGACCCGGTAGCTTAAACCCAAGCTGGGCACATGTGCAAAAGTGCCCAAGATCCCAAGAGGAAAATGGAGGAGAAGGGATTGCAGCATGACCATCCCCACTTTCTATCTCTGTCTCTCTCTGTCTGTCTGGCGAGCGCACGCGCCCTATAGTGAAAATCTCTCAAAAAAAAAAAAAAAATCATGACTTTCCTGACAACTTTTCCCATTGTGACTTTTCTTCCTACCTATGGCCTAGGATTATGCACTCACACCTGAACTGCGAAGTTAGAGACACTTCATGTCAGTGTCCCATACATGGTATCCCCATGTCTCTAGTACAAACTAGAAAAAGGCACCCCAGGGACCAGAAGGTGGTGTGGTGGTTAAGGTGCTGGATACTCCCACATGGCTGACCACGGTTCGAGTCCTGGATCTGGTGGCTTCCTTTCTCCCTATCCCTCTCTTTCCTTTTCTGTGTCTCTCTCTGGCCAAATTAAAATAAATGAATGAATAAATAAAATTTAATAAATAATAAACTAAAAAAAAAAAGAAAAAGGCACCCCATCCTCAATGCTTCAATTCCACCTGAAGAATCAGATGGAATCTACAGATAAGAAAACTAAAACTCAGAGATTAATGACTAGTACACCATGATCTTTTTTTATTTTTTTTCCCCACTTAGGATGGACTTTCTAAGTCCATATTATTAATACATGAAAAAAAACAAAAGTCCTTGGGCCAGCAGGTGGAGTGTTGGTTAAAGGAACTGGATTCCCACATGATTGACTGTAATTTGAGTCCCACACCTGGCAGTTTGCTTTCTTGCTTTCCCTTTCTCTGGCTCTCTTTGATCAAATTAATAATAATAACAATAATAATAATAATAATAATAATCAGGACCAGCAGTTGGCATAATGGCTATTTCACTGGATTCCCATGCAATTGACCATGGTTCGAGTCCCAGACCCGGTAGCTTAAACCCAAGCTGGGCACATGTGCAAAAGTGCCCAAGATCCCAAGAGGAAAATGGAGGAGAAGGGATTGCAGCATGATCATCCTCCAGAGAGGGTGATTTCTCGCTTTCTGTCTCTCTGTCTTTGTCTTTCTGGCAAGCGCACACGCCCTACAGGAAAATCCTCTCAAAATAATAACTACCACCACCAATGGAATTCAACAAATAATTCTTAAAAAAAAAAATCCTTGAACACTCATACACACCATGCCAGGAGTTCATGCAACCAATATTTACAAATCTTCAATAGTTAATTATGTTAGACTTAGTCAGTTTTTTTCTTCTCAAAATAATTGTCCTCCTTGGAGTAAAAAGTCTACTAAATAAAATTTTTTGCCAATTTGTGCAACAGTAAAGCTGCAAGATGTGAGGATACCACAAATCTTGAGACGTGTTGACAACTGAATGAAATGCATGTGGGCACAAACTTGAGACACAAAGGCAGCCAGACAAAACTATGACAATGTGGGGACCAGCAGTTAGCGTAATGGCTATGTCGCTGGACTCCCACATAGTCGACCATGGTTCGCGTCCTGGACCCGGTGGCTTAAAACTCACGCCAGGCGCGTGTGCGTGCGTGCCCAAGATCCCGAGAGGAGAATGGAGGAGAAGGGATTGCGGCGTGGCCATCTCCCCGGGGGGTGATTTCTCGCTTTCTATCTCTCTGTCTCTCTCTCTGGTGAGCACACGCGCCCTATAGCAAAACCTCTCCAAAAAAAAAAAAACTATGACAATGTGCACAGCTCATGGCACAAAGCAAGGACTGGGGAAAAGAACAGTCTTTGCTTAGGAAGAATAGCTTTGAGTCCAGTCTCCCTTTCATAAGTGATTCAGTTAGTACTATAACTCTTGTAATGGGGATGTCGAGAGGGGAATGCAACTGGGATTCAAAGGTGTATGCTCAGAATAAGAAAGCATGTGTAAAGCTGTAGCATATGAATTTTCCAGTTAGTTGCAATAAACCACAAAATACCATCTTTGCAGTTTTGAGGCAAAAAGAGGCAGGGTCATGTCTAATTTGGAGGCAGAGACTCTAGAAAATGCCATTCCCTAGAGGCAGGCAGGCACATGAATGATAGGCTCCATCTTGGAAACCCCTAAGTCACACAGACACCAGAAGCTTCCGATCTGCAAGACAAATTAAGGAGTAGCTTCAAATATCTCAAGGAGTTCCTGCCCTCCGCTTAACTCACCTGTTTACTGATTCCTTGAGTTATAGTAAAGAAAAAAATTTGTAACTTGATTTTAAAAAATCTTGATAGACTCACTAATACTAAAGGAACATGAAAAGTTATACACTGCTTTATTATTTTTGTGGGAAGAAAGGGTTTAGTCAGGGAAGAAAGAGGAGACAAATGTGACTTTGACTTTGGTTCTGCTGAAGGGCAGTCTGGCTTACCTTTCAACAGGATCAGAAGCACATAGCTCTATTTCACAAGTTATTAGGTTTGGTTTTTTTTGAAAGTTTAACATAATGCAGCTTGGTGATAGAAGCATGACAGTTTCTAAATAACTGACAACCACTGAAGGGCTCTTCCCTAGGCAGGAGGTAAAAAGACCTCCATTCTATAAGAGGCTCCGTGTGTTTTTACTTCTAGTTATTCTCACATGATCTTCTGTAGCTATCTCACCAACAACTGAAATTAGTGGCTTTCTCCCAAAGTGACAATACAGTAAGTTAAGTCCAGCTGAGGCTGGACACTGAATGATCTCACTTCAAGGCTCACACTTTAACAGGCTCCTTGGCAGGAAATGCCTATTTGCCTTATGTGAGAGTAACACATTGAAGTCTTCCACTGGCTTAAAAGCCCACTCTCAGGGGTCCAGTAAATTGGCAAATGAAGTGGACAACCATTACCTGGAAAAATTCTAATATGCACATTAGCTCTTAATTTAAAACCTGTTATTAAACATTCCTCTTTTTTGTCAAAGGGCACTTGTGCTGACCAGAGAGAGACGGGGAGGGAGGAAAAAGCACCCTGCATGGGGAATGGTCGAGCTCATTCATCTCTCCCTCCTTTCAAGATTCTGGGTGCATACACACATGCACCCAGCATGTTTCTCAAGACACCAGGTTTGGTCCACAAATATTCAATTTCTAACATTAGTCTTTCATTGGGTCTGGCTCTCACATATTCTTTTTTTTTTTTAAAGAATTATTTCTATTTAACTTTATTATTATAATCATTATTACTTTCCAGTTTGATCAGAGAGAGACAGAGAGAGAGAGAGAGAGGAAGTGAGAAAACAAGCCACTAAGTCCGAGACTTGAACTGTGGTTGGCCATGTGGGAGTCCAGCGCCTTTAACCACCATGCCACTTGCCGGCCCCCAAATATTCTTTTAGCATTATTTTTCCAGTGTTATCTTCCTGCTAAATTCCCCAGCATGCCAATTTAAATGAACGTGTATATGTTAATAACCTTGTCATGCAGGTCAAGCAGCTTTACGGAAACAACACAGAAAGCACATGGAACAAACAGCACAAAACTGATCTATTCTGCAGTGAATTTTATTGGGTCCAAAGGTGGCACTCCTTTGTAAGAAATAAAAAACTAAAATCAATTTGTACAAACATGCGTCATGAGATAAACCAATGATGGAGCCACCAAAATCAGATTGGAACAGACTCCAGCTTAAACTTCAGGGTATTTTTATTCAATACAGAGAATAACCGTGGCCATAAAATGGTCACAGGAGATGATAAGTGCACTTGAACTTTGTGGGAATTCTGGCTAAACTCTGACAAGCCTATTACACACTTCTTACCAGCCAGGTAAACAGCTCCCTTATTAATGCCAGAAACGTTAAAGCTTGTAATCCAGCTGGGAACTTTAAAGCTTGTCATCCAGCCACTCAAGTGGCTGTTTCCCAATTTAGAGCGGTCTAGCAGGTTAATTTCAGCATAATAAAAGATGTTATCTGGTTGGCTGCATCATGCATTAGTGGCAGGAACAGGCTTAATGAGTTTTGTGCTCAGATTCCTGTGCCTCCTGGCTGGTCTTGTCCATCTCTGCACCGTGGTCCTGAGCATTCTGAGACTCAGTCACCTGAGGATAAAAGGGACCTACCAGCCAGTTGAGGGGTGTGTTGTTAACAAGATAATCCATCACATCATCTAAAGATTCCTTCATTTTCTGCAGCTGCCCCTTGCTAGAAGTAAGGCTGTTAGATACTTCCTTAAAGGAGGCAGCACGGCGGAACACGGAGTAGATGTCGCCAGCCATCACCCCCAAGTGATTGGCCTGATCTTGGATGTTCTGTGGTAACCCTTGGATGCTGGACAAGAGGGTGTGGCACGTGGTCTGGAGCTGCTGAGTCAGGTTGCGGGCAATAGCAAGAGTACGTGACTCGATGTGCTAAAAATAAAAGAAACTTAAGAATTAGCAATGAGTCCAACATTGCCGTGTATGAATTAGTTCCATCACAGTAAGCTGGTTTATGTGTTTACCACATTAAGTGGATTCTGCGATTTTTTAAAAGTCTTTGTAATGACCCTGAATACAGCACTATTATTTGTATTTCATAGATACAAACAAAAGCTTAGGGTTTTTGTAACTTGCCCACTAACAGCTGGGAAATAGCTAAGTAGGGGTTCCACTAGTGCCTGAGTCTCCAAAGTTCATCATCCTAAGCCAAAGAAAATATAGCAGGCAAAGGGAGACCAGACAGGATGAAAATACACTCTTCACATTAAAAGTACAACACGTGATATGAACAGTTGACATTAATTTCAAAGGCAAATGCATACTAGCTTTTGAAACACAAAGATACACCTTTTAGGACTATAATCTGCTATGTCTTCTGTCTAGAACATTAGTCTCCTTACTGCCTTTCACCTACATGATTCACTTATTATCCACAGTTCTCAGCTTTACACTCATCTCATCTAGGAAGCCATCTGACTCTCCTACCCCCAGTCTAAGGCTGTGTTGAGAAGCCTCCCTCTATATTCTCAGTACCTGTATTTTTTGCTGTCAAAAAACACTATGGGAGGGAACCAGCAGTTAGCATAATGGCTATGTCGCTGGACTCCCACGTAGTCGACCATGGTTCACGTCCCGGACCCGGTGGCTTAGAACTCACACCGGGCGCGTGTGCGTGCGTACCCAAGATCCCAAGAAGAGAATGGAGAAGGGATTGTGGCGTGACCATCCCCCCTGGGGGGCGATTTCTCGTTTTCTATCTCTATGTCTCTCTTTGCCTGTCTGGCAAGCGCATGCGCCCTATAGCGAAAACCTCTCAAAAAAAAAAAAAAAAAAAACACTATGGGGGGCCAGCAGATGGTGTAATGGTTATGTCGCTGGACTCCCACATGGCCGGTCACAGTTCAAGTCCTGGACCTGGCAGCTTGAAACTTACACTAGGTGCATGCACATTTGTGCCCAAAATCCTGAGAGGAGAATGGAGAAGGGATTGTGGCATGGCCATCTCCCTGGGGCTGATGTCTTACTTTCTGTCTGTCTGTCTGTCTGTCTCTCTCTCTGGCAAGTATATGTGCCCTATAGCAAAAATCTCTCTCAAAAAAAAAAAAAAAAAAAAAGCTAAGGGGTCAGCCAGTGGCATGGTGCTTAAGGCAGCTGCATCCCACATGGTTGACTATGCAGTTAAAGTTCCAGACTCGGCAGTCTAAAAAACATGCTGGGCACATGTGTACGTGTGTCCAAAATTCCAGAGGAGAAGGGATTATGCATGCCCATCCATGGGTATGCTTTCTTACTTTCTCTGTCTGTCTGTCAGTCTGTGTGTGTCTCTCTCTAGTAAGTACATGTGCTCTCTAGCAAATTAAAAAAAAAAAAAACTGTGACAGTCTAGCTGCCTGTATTCTCTATTACTCTGCACCCACTAAAAGAGTAAGTCTTGCGGGACCAGCAGTTATTCCATAAAGTTACACTCAGTTTTGCTTTCCTCACACATAACTGCTAACCAATGTATACAGTGTTGTTTAAGCATTTGACACAATCATCTAAGAAAAATTATGTGAAAATTGAACTAGACAGTCTGATAAGAACTCCTTCAGACCCTGTGCAGAATAACCCTGTGCTGTCGTCTTACCTCGGTACAGTGGGATTCGTCCGTATCATCATAACCGATGCTTCTCTTCCACTCCACCCATGAGAGATAGAGCTTATCCTGGGCGTCCTGAATTTTCTGGTTGGCACTATACACATTCTGCCTGGCAAATTCAATCTAGGACACATCGAAATAAGGCAAGGGAAGAAACTAATCAGATATTTGTGTTAGCCTATTTACAAATCTATAATGTGAATCAGGCAACATAAAAAAAAATCCAGAATTTCCACAAGAGTTTATTCCTGCCCCTGCTATCCTGTTGTCAATTTTGTTAAGTAAACCAAGAAGTCGTGACTCATTACTGCCTCTATTTACCTATCAAACCTCTGGCTCCAAATTTACCTTGGGTTTAGCACCGGTAAAATAATTAAAATTTAATGTGTATCATGTGGGAAGTATAAGTCAGAAATTACAAAAGAAAAAGGAAATCAATTCTCCTTTTTTCCTGTTGCCAGCCACCTATTTCCTCTTCTAAGAAGAAATGATGTCCCCGTGCAGTACAGTACACGCTGTTCTGTAATTTGGCAATCTCTCACGACTACACAGTACTCTATTGTGATGTGGTTGAATCACTTCCCTGTGTGCTGTTGTAGTCTCTTGCAACTCTAAGTAAATATACATTTATATATCATAGGATAAATTCCTAAACGCAAAACTCCTTAGGCTATACGTGTGTTTGTAAGGTTCTTGGTAAGGTTCTTAGAACCTTACAAACACACGTCGGTCCCTTAAAGCCTCCTGAAGCACATCATTACCAACATCAAAATGTGTTAACGTGACAGGACAAGTCAAGTATTTGTATTTGACCACTCAGAGCAAGATAAAATGTCACTTTGATTGTTTTAGCTACTTATATTTCCTTTCCTGTAGTTGTCTGTTTACTTTGTCCATTTTCCTACTTTCTGGTTTGTAAGGTAAGATTAAAATTCTTGGATGTCATAGTTACCTTTACTTTAACCCCTCAAGATAAATGGAATCACTTTGGGTACTTTCAAATGAAGCTTTACTCACCAGGTGAAACGTGGAATGGAGCTGAGAAATGGTCTCTTGGCTTTTTTGCTTAGCTTCTTTAACCCTGCTGAGAGCCTGCTGGTAGGCACGTGAGCGGAGCTTGGTAGACAGGGATCCCAGTCTGACATAATAACTTGGCTTCTGAGTCAAATCAAATCCTTCAAGTTTTTTGGCTTCTTTTTCTAAAATTAAGAAAAAAGGAATTGGGATCAGCAGTTAATGTAATGGCTATGTCGCAGAATTCCCATGTAGTTGACCGCAGTTCAAATCCCGGACCTGGTGGCTTAAACTCACACAGGGCACATGTGCATGCATGCCCAAGATCCTGAGAGGAGAATGGAGGAGAAGGGATTGTGGCATTGCTGTCCCTCCTGGGGGGTGATTTCTCGCTTTCTTTCTCTCTGTCTTTCTCTGTCTTTCTGGTGAGTGCACGTGCCCTATAGCAAAAACCTCTAAAAAAAAAAAAAAGTAGAAAGAAAAAGGGATAAGGGAAACACAAAGGATCACAGCTATCAGTAGTCAAGCTTGACCTCTAACCTGGGTCTTACTTCGTGACTATTCACCCACCTCGCAACTCATTTTCCCAGGACTGCTTATATCTGCTACTGCTAACACACACTTGACCACCCTGAATGTATTCCATATTGGATACATACTGTATATATCTACATGTCTCTATATGTTTATTCCAATTTCAGCGAGCTTCTTGAGCAAAACAGTAGCTGGCACATTAGTGCCCACTTTCATGATTCATTTTAATGATGCTGCTGTAAAATAACTCATTAAAAAGAACCTATTAGGCCAGCCAGAGCCTATTGTTTGAGGGAGCCAGATGCACATATCCAGCCTAGATCTTGCAGCTTAAGAAACACACCAAGCGTGTTGTACTGACATGCCTGAAATCCTGAAAGGAAGGAGAGATGGAGTACAAGGCACTGCGGCATGACTGTGCCCCAAGGTGGGTGGTGCTATCCTTATTTTTCTTTCTCTGTCTGGCAAGTACACACACCCTTAGGCAAATAAAAAAAAAAAAGAAAGAAAATATTTTTCAGGGCTAATTTCTCCTAAAGTTTCAAACCTTACTATGTGCAATTCAGTGTGACCTTTAAGATTGCTTTAAGGAGAAAAATCTATAGAGACAGAAAGATTAGTGGGAAAGATTCCTAGAAAAGGAAATGGGGAATGACTACAGACAGGCATGCAGGACCTTCTGGGGTGACAGAAATGTTCTAAAACTGGATTGTGATGATGGTTGTGCAATTCTGTAAACTTAATCTTAAAATATGTGTTTTTTTTTGAATGAAGCAATCTTGAAAAGATTCCTTTAAAATATAAAGCCTTTCTTTTTTTTTTTTTAAATTGCTTGTGGGTGCACGTGCTCACCAAGGAGACAGAGAGAGAGAGGGAATGAGAAAGCATCCCCAACATCACAACCCCTTCTCCTCCATTTTGCCATCCCACGGGGGTTTGGGGCACAAACACACACGTACCTGGCATGGATTCACACTGTGGTCAGCCATGTGAGATCCAGCTCCCTTAACTACTAGGCAATGGGGTTGGCCCAAGATATAAAACATTACTTCAAGATAAATTTCCAATTACCTAGCTCCTTCTCAGTGAGAGGGAGGTACTGGTCTACCAGCAGCTCTGATTTAGTGAGTGCATTTTCAACTCCACTGCTCATAAACTGCACCATCCGACTCCCCAAGACTGTGTTAATACTGCCGTTGACCACAGACTTGGTCTTCTCCACACTGCCAGTCACTGCTCCTTTCGTTTTGTCTACCACTCCTGTGATTGTGCTGGCCACAGAATCTTTGGCCCCAGTCACAGTAGTCGTCACAGCATCTTTTGCCCCAGTCACAGCACCTCTGGCACTGGCCACAACCTGCAAGTAGAAAAGCAGATCACGTGGCTGGTGAGAAGCAGGCACAAATGCCTGTTTAAGGGCTTAACTAAGGCGGCATCGTCAAAGAATGAAAGAAGAAAGCTGGCTCTTCGACTCTTCCTTGGGCTAGTTGCTAAGACTTGATAAACCTGAATTTCCTATCAAGTGCATATTCCTCAAGGGTTGTCAAAGGAGCAAATAAATGGATATGAAATTTGTCAACTTGCCAAGATGGCAAGTTGGCTTGTTGTTGTTCTGTTTTCAACTAGAAGAGCTTTCGTGACATAGGGTACTCTAGAGAAGAAAGCATCTTCCATGTTGGCATTCTTATATTGAGAGTAGCTTGTGCCTGCCTGCGAGACTAGACACAGGTACCACATGTACCCCGCCCTTTGCAGACAGCCCCAGAAGCTCACATATGGGAAGAAGGTCACCCTACTAGATGTGTTCTTAGATATCTGTCATTAACATAGTTCTTTTTTTTGTTTTTAAAATGTTTTTCTATATATTTTGTTTTTATTCATTTATTTATTTATTTACTTACTTATTTTAGTTTGACCAGAGAGGGACAGAGTGAGAGAGAGAGAAAGCGAAAGTGAGAAAGCAAGTCACCAGGTCCAGGGCTTGAACCGCAATTGGTCATGTGGGAATCCAGCGGCCTTAACCGTGCCACCTGCTGGCTCCTCACATAGGACTTTCTAAATCCCCTGATTGTCTTGGTTGTATTCATGAAACTCAAAGGTAGCCTATGGCTGGCTCATTTTCCTCTTTGTTCAAGTGTAACATGAAAGATGCTGACTGGTACAAAAGAGTCTCTCCCTTTGTGTCTATGTAACAACATAATTATTTCTGTGTATGCTTAACTGAGTTCAGTTCCCCTCAAATACAACACCAGTATTTTTTTAAATTATTTTTTTCTTATTTAAATGTATTTATTTATTTATTTAAATTTAACCAGAGAGGGACAGAGAGAGAGAGAGAAAGTGAGAAAAGCAAGTTGCCAGGTCTGGGACTCAAACCATGGTAAGCCATGTGGGAGTCCAACAACTTTATCCACCACGCCTCCTACTGGCCCCACAACACCAGTATTTCTAACTGAAGAATGATTCTAGGGAAGTAAGATAACTATTGACTTCTGAGTTGCTATGAGGGAAAAAAAAAGAAGCCAATTGGGAGACAGTCCAGGTTCCCAATCCAACTGAACTAACTCACATTTCTGCTTTCCACATTGGAGTGAGGGGAGAAAAGAAAGGGAACATGAAAGAGTCCTCCCAGGCACACCTCAGACATTGAGCATCAAGTTTTCAAAGCCATTAACTGGTGACTTGCCCAAGATCGCACGTGAAAGGTAGACTAAACACCTGAATTCTAAATTAGTCCGGGGCTATTTTCATATGAAAAGAGAGATGGCTTTAAGCCAGAATGTGCCCCACCATACCCCAAACAAAAAGGATGGTAAAGACTGGGATAGGGAGCCAGCAGGTGGCACAGTGGTTAAAACACTGGACTCCCACGTGCCAACTGGGGTTCAAATTTCAGAGCCAGCAGCTTGAAACTCACACCAGGCACATGTGCATGTGTGCCCAAAATCCTGAGAGGAGAATGGAGGAAAAGGGACTGTAGCATGGCCGTCTCCCCATGGGGTGATTTCTCACTTTCTTGTCTCTCTCTGTCTTCCTGGTGAGGGCATACACCCTATAGCAAAAATCTCTCTCAAAAAAAAAAAAAAAAAAGTCTGGGATTTGAGACAGGGAAAACAGCACCAAACTCACTCCACTTGAAAGCTTAATTACAAGGATACTGCTATCACCATAATTCTAGTTACATGGTTAAATAAGAATAAAGCTTTCAGTTCAATTACAATCTAGTGTCTTTTCCAGTACTAGTTATTCCAAGAAGGGGCTAATTCCACTAAGAATAGCTAACGGTTAATGTTAAACTCTTTTAAGCAAAAAAAAGAAAAATTATTAACTCTCTGTCCTTTTAACTACAATCGTCTTTTCTTCCAAGTCTCCATATTTCTTCAAACACAGTGAGAGTAAATTATCCACAGAACTAGGTTGTTTTGTAAGAATCTTAAATTTTTTGGGGTCGGCAGGTAGTGTGGTGGTTAGAGGCACTGGACTTCCACGTGGCTGACTGTGGTTCAAGTCCTGGGTCTGGCAACTCGCTTCCTCTCTTTCTCTTTCTTTCTCTCTCTGTGGCTTGCTCTGGTCAAATTAAAAATAACAATATGATTAATTAAATAAATAAAATAATTATTGAAAAAAAGAATTTTGGGACCACCAGTGTAATGGCTATGTCGCTGGACTCCCATGTAGTTGACCGCGGTTCAAGTCCCAGACACAGTAGCTTAAACTCACGCGGGGTGCATGAGCGTGAGTGCCCAAGATCCCGAGAAGAGAATGAAGAAGAGATTACAGCATGGCCATGCTCCTGGGGGGGGAGGGGGAGTGAGTTCTTGCTTTCTGTCTCTCCTCTGTTTCTCTCTTTCTGGTGAGCTCCTGAGCCCTGTAGCAAAAACCTCTCCAAAGAAAATAAAAGGTGCCTTGACAATATTATACAGAAATCATCAAAATTTAAAAACATCACAAATAGAAAATAACTCTCATCATTAGAATAGGCTCAAACAATATAAATGAAAAAGTTTAAACACAGCATTTTGTGCCACGCTATATTCTTAATTTGAAAGACTATTTTGGGGCATAGCTGGAACAAAGGACCACCAGCGTGGATGGGTCTATTATTTTTGTCAACATTGGCTAGCTGTCCCACAGAATGGTAATCCACACCAGCACTTCACCAAGCCAAATGAGAAAAGGTTCTAAATACCATCTTTCCATTTCATTTATCCAACATTGTCACAAGGGAATCGGTTATTTAAGAAAGCAACTTCATTAGCAGTGGCAAGAACACAAACTGATAGGCATCAGACTAAAGTCGGCTAGTTCTCCTCTGCTTCTTAGACTTAACCTGTAACAGTCCAGGAAGTCAGGAGTGGCAATTACTCTTGCAAAAATATACCCAGGTTGAGAGAACAAATGAACATTTGCCGTTTATGGTATGTACAGCCTGTGCTAAACAGACAGAATGTGAAAACATGTGAGGTGACAAGCCTCAGCACTTTTGTCCCAAGCTCACCTGGGTTGTTGGCTGATTCAGAATAGGCAGTTTCTCTTCAATCCTGTCTAACCCCTTACAGGCATAGGTATTGGCAACTGCAACTGGAAGAATCACAAGTGGGAAAAAAATGTTAGTATAACAATTGGTATGGAATGAACACACATTACTATTCTTTATACCTTTGGCCTATCTTTTTAAAAAGCAATAAGTCCAGCCAGCAGTGTAGATCCCACATGCCAACAGCGTGGTTCAAATCCTGGACCCAGGTGCTTTAGAAACACACTGGACATACATATGTGTGTGCCCAAAATTAAGAGGAGAATGGCAAAGGGATCATGTCATGGCCATCCCCCTGAGGGGTGATTTCTCACTTTCCCTCTCTCTTTTTGGCAAGCACATACACCCTGTAGCAAAGTAAATAAATAAATAAGTAAAAAGGAAGCTGCTTATGTAAACTATGTGATCCCAAAAAATTCAATTCTTGGGACCAGCAGTTAGTGTAATGGCTATGTCGCTGGACTCCCATGTAGCTGACCACAGTTGGAGTCCTGGATCCAATGACTTAAACTCACGCCGGGTGCGTGTGCGTTTGTGCCCAAGATCCTGAGAGGAGAATGGAGGAGAAGGGATTGCGGCATGGCCATCCCCCCTGGGGGGTGATTTCTCGCTTTCTGTCTCTCTGTCTCTCTGGCAAGCGCACGTGCCCTATAGCAAAAAACTCAAAAATAAAAAAAAAAAGGAAACAAACAAAAACAACAACAACCAAAAAAAAAAAACCTCAGTTCTTGGGCTGGCAGGTGGCATGGTGTTTAAGGTGTTAGACTCCCACATGGCCAACCACAGTTTAAGTCCTGACCTCAGTTCTTGGGCTGGCAGTGGCATGGTGTTTAAGGTGTTAGACTCCCACATGGCCAACCACAGTTTAAGTCCTGAACCTGGCAGCTTGATTTCTCACTTTCTCTCTCTTGCTCGCTCTCTCTGTCTCTCTCTCTCTCTGATCAAATTAAAAAATAATAATCATGATGAATAAAATAATTATTCTTTAAAAACTCAATTTTTTTTTGAGAGACTTTTGCTATAGAGCACCTTTAAAAACTCAATTTTTTTTTTAGAGACTTTTGCTATAGAGCACATGTGATCACCAGAGACAGAAAGCAAGAAATCATCCCCAAGTGGGGATGGCCACGCTGCAATCCCTTCTCCTCTGTTCTCCTCCTGGGATCTCAGGCACATACGCACATGCGCCTGGCTTGAGTTTGAAGCTACTGGGTCTGAGACTCATACCACGGTTGGTTATGTGGGAGTCCAGGGACATAACTGCTACACCAACTGCTGGCCCCATTAAAAAACAAAAAAACTCAATTCTTAAAAGTTCACTCCTGGATCCTTCCTTTGTGCTCTTAATTGCCAACACAGAAATATCTTTGGGCAATGTTTGTTTGCTTACTGTTCTTTTTTTAAAAATTTGCCTGTGGTGGCCAGAGGGTGTTCACAGAATGGAGGGATGGGGAAAGAGAGAAAGAGAGGAGGGGAGAGAGAGAGAGAGAGAAAGTTGGAGAGCAACTCCCCATGATAGATGAATGGTCGCTCTGTAATCCCCTCCATTTCTCCTTCCTTTCAGGATTTTGGGCACACACACACACACACACACACATACAAACCCGGCGTGTTTTTTAAACCAGCAGGTCCAGGACTCAAACCACTCAGCTGCCCATGTGGGATCCAGCTGCCTTAACCACCATGCTATTGGCACAGCCCTATTTATATCTCTTTTAAGAGGGAGAGAGAGGCACCCCTGATATCTCACCATCCTGAGATCCTCATCCCAGTCTTCTAGTCAATCAAGGTCACCAGCTCAACCAGCATGTTTGGGTTGACCTGGGATCTGAACCCACATGGCTCCAGAACTGCACAGTACTGCCCTACTGCCTGTGCCACCATGTGCCTCTGGGTGATTTTTAACTCGAATATCATGAATACTTGCCATTTGTTTGACACAGGCCTTCTATGACAATGAGGGCCATCTGAGTTTCCAGTTAAAGGCAGTATGTGTCTCAGGGTGGCTGAGGACTTTCTGATGTTACGGCTGTGTGCTCAGGACTTTGGACTGCACCTTGAGGCGGAAAAAAATTAGAACTCACTTTGTGGCTCCAGCTTCTGGATGATTGGCAAAGCACTCGTCACGGCTACCGAGGTCATGGTCTTCACACCCCTCTCTGCCATCTCACACACGGACCTCAAGTAGGGGTACTGGTCCTTTGTGCTGACATACACCGTGGACACAAGATCATACGTGGAGCTCACCAAGGGCAGGTTGGCCACCCGAGCCACCACGCTCTGGAACAAAAGAGAGGGGTTTATTAACTTCTCAAAATACCCAGGGAAAGAAGGGACTCAAGAAATAGTTACTTAAAATGCATACCGGTTGTGGGTCAACTGCAACAGATGCCATTTTTCCCGCTGGAGAAAGTAACCTGTGGGAGAGAGACACTTCAGGACGCTGGTTAAGACTCTCCCAGATTCATTCCCCAAACCAAGCAAATGCTAATTTCAAACAGAAAAATAAAAGATCAGCCAAGTGTATTTTTCTGCATTTCTCCCCACAGTCTGGCTCTGAGTCCTCCCAGGACACTGACACCTTCTAATGCAAGGTTTCAGAGAGTATGTGTACCATTTCGGGAGAAAAGACGCCCAGCAAAGCAAAGCAAAGCAGAGGTGGTGAAATATTTGTCTTGCTTCTCTGCCGGGATACTAGAAATGCGTTCAAAGGGCACTATCTGTTCACAAAAATGCTAACCAAGTAAAATCCATGTTAAGACTAAAGACATTTCAAAAAGAAGGTCAGTCAGCACTTGCCTGGGAATCAAGTAAGAACTGTCAAATGGAGCATTGGGTGGGGCTGCCTTTTTACCATCTCGTGAAATGACTGAAACCGCTGATAATTTAGGGGAGACCGAGCAGAAGAGGTAGGAGGCGCTCCGAGGAACTGAGACACTTCAGGACGTTTAAATGTAACCTTCGTGTCACCAGTGCCCCACACCCACACGAAACCGCCTTGCGGCTGGACAGCAGAGGTGGTAGGGACAGAACCTGCGTGGTGGCTCGGATCTTCTGGACCTTTCAGCTCGCCCTGCAGCCGCAAAGGTCCGGGTTCTGGACACTTAAGGACCGCCCTGAAGGCGGAAGTCAGGAGCCAGGTCGGAGCCCCGCGGTCTCGGTGTACCCCATAAGATGCTGCCTTCGGACGACTTCCTAACGCGTCTCCCTTTAAATAATGTCCCTTCGGGGCCACGGGAATGCGTCCCCACAACCATCCTGGGCAAGCCCAGTGACTTGATAGCACCCGCACTGACGCTGTCGGGAGCAAACAAGCCGCACGAACAGAAGCGAGGGCCGAAAGCGCACGCCCAGGGGATGTCACCCCCTCCCCTTCCCAGCCAGGCCCCGGAAG